CTTATTTTTCGCCAAGAAATGCCCCCAGTGCCCAAACGGTAGAAAATAGAGAAACAGACGAAATTTTTGTCCGAAGAACGCTATTCCAATGAGTTTACCTTTTAGAAACCCATAAAAAAAGAGATCCTCTGGTAAAATTTGATTTTTTGTTACCCAATGCCAGGCTGATATTGCACACTCTTCGCTCTACAACCCTAGCCCAGAACGCCGCTCAGCTCTACCTACCGGCGAGGAACTTTTGATCACCGCTGACGCCGAGAGCTACATGATCTCTCAGGAGCGCCCGGATGTCCCAACAATTTTTGGTCAGACGACGCGTGAAATGGGTTACTTTTTCCCTTTCTTTGGTAAGGAGTGAATGAGAATCATCTCATACGAATAGTCACGCTCAATAGAATTCTTTAACTTGAAGGGGTCAGGTGAAATGTAAGGGTTTAGGAGAATCACTACAAAAACACTTCAGGCCGCATCGATTTTTGGTATTGGTATATTTCAGTTATTTCTTATAGAGTTTACATTTACATAGATAAACCCTCTCAACCGAGGTCCACATTAAAAATTATTTTAGTAAAAAAACACACAAGATACAGTATATTAAACAATACTTCTGATAAAGTAACAACAATCAATCGTATCAGCCCTAAGTACCTCTCTCATTAAATTCCTACACCAATGAATAAAATTCTTTTTCTCGCAGCCATTTCTTTAACTTCGTTTTAAACACTTTCATATTTCTACGCTTCTTAATAAATGCATTGCATTAAAAATATTTATAATATCTGAACGTATGAAATTGATTTGGTTGTTATACTTATGAATGTCTTTCTTCATTCTGGTGCCATGGCCATGCCTTTTTTTTTATTATTTTCTTTGAAATATTCGAATGCGTTAACTGATGCCTGACTGTTAAGAAGAAATTGAAGTTAAAGTCAAAAATTAGGACTACAGGTTGATTGAGAGCATATATACACGCTAACTTTGTCGTTGACGCCGCCGGTGCGTGCACTCTCCCGGAGCATGCCGATCAACGCCTGCAGTCCTGACGGTTGAAGATTCAACAGCCACCACAGTCAGCGTGGATTCCGAACAAAGGCTTCCGCGCCGCCAAGTAGACAACGATGACAAGCTGTGGGCTGTGAAGCAGCATCTTTTAGGAGTAACTAGCAATTTCTGACAGTCACAGACCCATCCGCTGCAGCACAATCGTGCACACCTAAACGGACTGCATCGTCCAGTTGGAGGCGAAGATTGGCATGTTTCTGGAGAGTGCGCCCACCGGCGCCAACAGCAAGATAAGCGTTCATCTATGGTCTCAATATACCTTTAGCTCTAAATCAATGCAGCGGGTAGTTTTGCTGTAGTGACAATTTTCCCAAACCCTCCATTTTACAAGTCTGCCCTCTTAATTCTGTGTCTTTTGTACCAGACGTCGCAAACAACGATGCAGCCCTTGAGAATGCTATCAAAAATTTGATTACCTGGACACCACCTAGCCTGTTTCCCAGTGAAGAGACGCGAAAAATTCTAAAAATCCAGCGCAACTTGTCTGCTGAAGGAATCCCGGATACGTTGCAAAAATACTACTTCGAAACAGATGACAGTGATTGCAGCAAGGAATGCAGGATGGCAAAGGTAAAGACAACCCAATACATTTTCTCCTACATCGAAATTATATTAGAAGCGGCTTTTTCCATTGTTTCGAGGGGAAAATTGGACCCAAGTACAAATACACTTGAATCAAGAAATGATTTTTCTGAGTGTTGTTGTCTGACCGTCCGTTCATACCCTGAGAATAATGTGAGCCGAAGGTTTAAAGTGTTCAAGATGACGTCGTTTACAACAACGGAATGTTTCGTCCAAATCCTTTCAATAACACTCTTAATGCACTGTAAAAAGCTTGCGAAGAACTATTCTTTGCAGTGCAAAGAATTTTCAAGCGTTGTAAAATGCTTTGCATTGCGAACTAAATCCTTCGCATTGCAAACTAATTCTTTGCACCTTTCGAAGAAAATAGTTTGGAATGAAAAGAAAATAGTTTGCAATGCAAAGAAAATAGTTGGCAATGGAAAGAAAATAGTTTGCAATGCAAACTTCCTTACAATGCTTGAAAATTCTTCGGAAGAATTTTGCAGTGTGGGGTGAAAAGAGGTTACACGGACCTTTCACTCTGACACTTTGAGTGTCACATTTAGTCGCTCATTTGCACCGTTTTGTCGTCTTTACCGAAAAAGGTCCAGGAAAAGTCCAATCTCGGCCCTGAATATCGATTACACTCCTAGATACACAATATTTTGCGTCGGGATTCCTTAGAATACCAACCTGGTTGGCAAAAATCCCTTCCAAATGCATGAATAGTGATCG